GATTTTTGGATATTTCTGGATCTATCATAGTTCTTTATAGCAGTCTATATCTTCTTCTTTTTACTTATGTCTGTAGCCTCAGTTTCTGAATTGGGGCTTTGTGCCAGGTCCAGAATCCATCTCCTGCTATTCTTTTTAAAAAAATTAATTTATTTATTTTTAGTTTTCAACATTCATTTCCACAAGATTTTGAGTTCCAAACCTTCTCCTCATCTCTCCTTTCCCCCTGTCCCAAGACAGTGTCCATTCTGAATACCCCTTCCCTTAATCTGCCCTCCCTTCTACCACCCTTTGCCCCCTTCTCTTATCCCCTTCCCTTTCTATTTTCCTGTAGGGCAGGATAGATTTCTATACCCCATTGCCTGTATATCTTATTTCCCAGTTGCATGTAAAAACAATTTTTAACAGTCATTTTTTAAACTTTGAGTTCCAAATTCTCTCCCATCCTCCTTCCTCATCCATCTTTATTGAAAAGGGAAGCAATTCAATATAGGTTATACATGTGTAGTCATGCAAAACACTCCCATAATACTCATGCTGTGAAAAACTAGCTGTATTTCCCTCCATTCTATCCCGTCCCCCATTTATTCTATTCTCTCCCTTGACTCTGTCCCTTCTCAAAAGTGTTTGCTTCTGATTACCCCTTCCCCAATCTGCCCTTCTTTCTATCATTCCCCCCTTTCTTATTCCCTTCCCCCCTATTTTCCTGTAGGGTAAGATAGATTTCCAAACCCAACTGAGTGTGTATGCTATTCCCTCCTTAAGCCAAATCTAATGAGAGTAAGATTCACTCATTCCCTCTCACCTCCCCCCTCTTCCCTTCCACTGTAGAAGCTTTTTTTGGCCTCTTTTATGTGAGATAATTTACCCCATTCTACCTCTCACTTTCTCCTTCTCCCAGTACAATCCTCTCTCACCCCTTAATTTTATTTTTTAGATATCATTCCTTCACATTGAATTAACTCTGTGCTCTCTCTCTCTCTCTCTCTCTCTCTCTCTCTCTCTCTCTCTCATATATATAATATATATATATATATATATATATATATATATATATATGTATGTATATATATGTGTGTGTGTGTGTGTATACGTATATATGTATATGTATATTATATATATACACACACACACATACGTACATACACACACACACACACACCACACACACATTCCCTCCAACTACCCTAATACTGAGAAAATCTCATGAGTTACAAGTGTCATCTTTCCATGTAGGAATGTAAATAAACCAACTTTAGTAAGTCCCTTATGATTTCTCTTTCCTATTTACCTTTTCATGCTTCTCTTGAGTCTTGTCTTTGAAAGTAAAGTTTTATATTCAGTTCTGGTCTTTTCATCAAGAATGCTTGAAAATCCTTTATTTCATTGAATATCCATTTTCCCCCTGAAGAATTATACTCAGTTTTGCTGGGTAGGTTTTAATCCTAGCTCCTTTGACCTACAGAATATCGTATTTCAAGCCCTATGATCCCTTAAAGTAGGAGGTGGGTGCTAAATCTTGTGTTATCCTGATTGTGTTTCCACAACATTTGAATTGTTTCTTTATGGTTGCTTGCAATATTTTCTCCTTGACCTGGGAACTCTGGAATTTGGCTATAATATTCCTAGGAGTTTTCCTTTTGGGATCTCTTTCAGAAGGTGATTAGTGAATTCTTTTAATTTCTATTTTGCCCTCTGGTTCTAAAATATCAGGGTAGTTTTCCTTGATAATTTATTGAAAGATGATGTCTAGGCTCTTTTTTTTTTTGATCATGGCTTTCAGGTAGTCCAATAATTTTAAAATTATCTCTCCTGGATTTATTTTTCAGGTTGGTTGTATTTCCAATGAGATATTTCACATTGTCTTCGATTTTTTTCATTCTTTTGCTTTTGTTTTGTGATTTCTTGATTTCTCATAAAGTTATTAGCTTCCATTTGCTCCATTCCAATTTTTAAGGAATGAGCTTTTAGACTGCACTTTTAGACATCCTTTTCCATTTAGCCAATTCTGCTTTTTAAAGCATTCTTTTCCTCATTGGCTTTTTGGACCTCTTTTGCCATTTGGGTTAGGCTATTTTTTAAGATGTTATTTTCTTCAGTATTTTTCTGAATCTCCTTTAGCAAGCTGTTGACTTGTTTTTCATGATTTTCTTGCATCACTCTCATTTCTCTTCCTAGTTTTTCCTCTACTTCTTTTACTTGCTTTTCAAAATCCTTTTTGAGCTATTCCATGGTCTGGGACTGATTCATCTTTTTCTTGGAGGCTTTGGATGTAGGAGCTTTGACTTTGTTGTCTTCTTCTGGTTTGATCTTCTTTGTCACGAAAGTAAGATTCTATAGCCTGAGTATTTTTCCACTGTTGGCTCATTTTCCCAGCCAATTACTTGACTTTTAAACTATTTGTTAAGGTAAGGGTCTGCTTCCAGTGTGGAGGGTGTAACTGTCTCAATCTTCAGGGGTTTGGGTGCAGCAATTTTCAGAGATACTTCTAGGAACCTGTAAATTTTCAGTTCTTCCAAGGTGGTATGATCAAAGGAGAGGTGTTTACTCCTTTCTTGGCCTGTGCTGTGGTCTATAAGTGACCACAAGCACTCTTTTCTGCCTTGGAACTGTGAGGAGGATTCCCTCTTCACTGCCGCCATATATTCAGCCACACTAGTGCTCCTCTTTGCCCTAGGACTGCCATCCAGGACTATGACCTAGATCCAAGCACAGGCAAAGAGAATCTTGCCTCAGTGCCAGCAAAGAGATCCCTGAAATCCCCCTCTGATCAGTTGCTTGATCCCCCACATCTGTGAGCTGAGAGCAACACCAATGCTACTGCCCCAGGGCCACACCAGGGCTGGGGCTAGGACCGCCGCTCCTCTCTCATCCAGGTCTGACAAACCTTCCCTACTAACCTTCTGAGTTGTCTTTGGTGTTTATGGGTTGAGAAGTCTGGAAACTGCCATAGCCGCCCATGATTCAGTCCCTAGAGGCCTGCTCCAGGTTTGCTGGGACCCCATCTTTGCTCCTCTCCCAGCCTGGTGCAACAGACCTTTCCCATCGACCTTCTAGATTGTCTTGGACTGGAAATTTGTCTCACTCAGTCCTTTTGTGGGTTCTGTTTAGAGCCATTTTTTTACAGGTATTTGGAGGGGTTTGGGGGAGAGCTCAAGCAAGTCATTGCTTTCACTCTGCCATTTTGGCTTTGCCTCTGGCTATTCTTTTGAGTGCTCTTTTGAGTGGGGTGGTCAACCCTGCTTGATTTTCATCTCTACTTAAATCAACTCTGATAATAATAATAGTAATAACAATAACAATAATAGCAGCAAATGTTTATATAGCACATACCATGTATTATCACATTCGATCCTCATAACAATCCTAGAAGGTTAGTGTTATTATCATCTCCATTTGGCAGTTGAAGAAACTGAGGCAAACAGTCACCCAAGGTCACACAAGCTGGTAAGTGTTTGAGGCCAGATTTGAACTCCATTCTTCTTGACTCCTAGGCCAGCACTCTATCCACTGTGTCATCTAGCTGCCTGACCTCTGCTTCTTGGGTTTAGGTGCCCCTGGACCTTTGAGATTCAGATGACTGGATTTTCAGGGCCCTTTATGGTATTGCAGGTCAGAGTTCTAGGAACTCTTGGAACTGCTGGTCTTAGGGCATTCTGGTCTGAGCCCTACTGCCATGGCTGGACTGATCACCGCCACTCCTGGTCATCTGCAAGCTCCTTACTGGCAGTTTTCCATCCCTCCACCCCACATAGTGAGACCTCGTGGGAGTCTCTGTTTTTGTTGGCTCTGAATACAGAACGTTGAAGGGTATACACCTCTGTGGCCTGTCTGTGGTCACACTGGTTAGTCACTGTCTTGTTTGTCTGCATGGATGCTGGCTTTTCTTGCAGCCCCCTTTCCTATTACCAGTAGGCTATTTGGTTGATTCTTTATGTAGTTCTGGGGGAAGGGGGAATATGTCTTTCACTGTAGTTTCTAATTGGATTTCTTGGTCATTATTTTGTTTGGTGTGGTATTTTTCCTTTTTTGTGGGAATGGTTATGTGGCAACCAGGCTGCCTCCACTGAGGTGGTCATCTTGACTGGGTCTAACATTGATCTTCAACATGTTAAGTTTGAGATGAGACAATATGGGACATCCAGCTGGAACTATCCAACAGGAAGCTGTAACCAGACTGTCTCCCTCAAGAGAAAAAGGAAGTTTGGATGTATAGATATGAGAGTCATTTGCATAAAGATGAGTTGTTGCCATGGAAGCTGATAAGATCACCAAGAGAAGATGGCTAGAGAAAGAATAGGAGGGTCTATGACATAGTCCTTGGATAGGGGTGTGACATGGGTTAAGATCTGTAAAGGAAAATAAGAAAGATTATTCAGGCAGATAAGAAGAGACCCCCCAACATCAATGTCATAAAAACTCAGATGAGAGAGCATTAGTGGTCTTCCTCAGGATTGGTTCCACCAGATTCCTTGTCAGGTAGTTTGGATGCCTGAATGTATGGTGGTGGGGGGAGGTAGGTGAGACGCAGGTGGTGTCAGGATGGTTTATGAGGTGGGAAGAAGGAAGGCTGGGGCCCTGGCAGATTCCTCTCAGAGAGGACCAGCATTGAGTTGGGGGAGGGCAGGGGAAAATCTGGCATAATGGATCTGGAGTCAGAGGACCTGGGTTTGAAGCCTGACCCTGCTACTTATTATTTTTGTGACACTGGGAAAATCATGTAACTTCTCTGGGCCTCAGTTTTCTTAGTTATAAAAAGAGGCAGGTGGACTAGGTGCCGTTTATATCCCCTCTGAGCTCTAATTGACATGATCCTATGTACATGTGTAAAGGAGGGGTGAGTGCCACTGTGGTACTTGTCAGGGGAGAGAACATGGGGGACATACTCCCTGGCACTTTGAGTCTTCTGTGGATTGGTCACTAGTAAGAAATTGGGGACTATTTTATGGAGTACTCAGAGATGCTTTTTTTTTTTCATTTTGTATCCTATCTCCCCACAGTGAATCCCTGCTGCTATTTCCCCTGTCAACATAAAGGTGTCTGTGTGCGCTTTGGCCTAAACCACTACCAATGTGATTGCACACGAACTGGCTACTATGGCCCCAACTGCACCACCCGTGAGTACTTCTCCCTGCGCCCCCAATCCTTTATCACCTTTGCCTCCCCTTCCCTCCCTTCCTGTGCTCCCTATCCTTCCTGCCCTCTTGCATCTCCACATCCCTCTAAGCCTGGGGGGAAGGCTGTCTGATGAGATTTCTGCCTCCTACACCCTCCCACACCAGCGGAGCTATGGACTAGAATCCGGGAAGCCCTACGCCCCAGTCCTTCCTTCTACCACTTCATCCTGACCCATGGTCGGTGGATCTGGAACATTATCAACTCTACCTTCTTACGAGATTTTCTCATGAAGCTTGTGCTTACAGGTACGTCTCTGCTCCAACCCCTGTCACACCTTGGAGAGATCTCCATCCATGAGTATCTATTCCTGATACCTAAAAGGAGCTAGAAGGGAACTTTGAAAATGAAGTGTTGGGATATAGAGCATAGTTTGTAATCTGAAAGATATCTCAGAACAAATTAGAAAGTTAAGACTGGAGAAATTAGAATGTTAAAACTGGAAAGGACTTTAAGACATAGACTACCAGAAAATAGAGCCAGAACGCTTGAATTCTCTACCCCAATTGACTGTCGACACTCCCTCTAACCCAAGGAGGCCAATGGGTAAGTACTGAGTCTGGAGTGACTACATTGGTGCAGGGGACAGCAGCTTTAAGGGAATTATGAATTTGGGGTGGGTCTGGGCCTTGGGTTCCAGTTAATCTGTGGAACATCAAACCAAGATGTCCTGCCTCACTAAGTCAGAGGAATTCACAGCATCTGATAAGGCTCAGCAGACATGAATACTGGAGGCAGTTTGATGTCAGATAAAGCTTTTACGAGCTAGGCTGGAGCCTTGGGGTTCCCTTGACCTTATGTCCCCTATCTTCCCCTTCAGACTGGGGCAGTGTTCTTTGTGGAGGGGAGGGCCTCTCTTCCTTATCAGCCTGGGCAGTTTCCTGAGGTCAAGGGTTGTCTCTCTGTCCCCCTTCCCCTTTCCACTGGGTGTGCTCTGCCCACGAGGGTCCTGTCTCCTCTTCTGTGAAAAATCCCTGAGGGCAATGGCCTGAAGGCCTATATGTCCAAGTGATTGTTCTGTCCCTCTCCTCCTAAAGTTCGAGCAAACCTGATTCCTAGCCCACCTACCTACACCTCGGAACATGGCTACATCACCTGGGAGTCCTACTCCAATTTGAGCTTCTATACTCGGGTACTAGCTCCTGTACCTGAAGATTGTCCCACTCCCATGGGGTTCAAAGGTAACTCTTTGGCTTGGGGTGGGGGGTCTTAATGATAACAACCCAGGGGCCAGTGGTGAGTGATAAGGGTCTCCTTAATCTTAGGCTATATTATGGTCATAGGATTTAGAGCTGGATAGACCCTTAGAGGTCATCTAGTTCAATTCCTATATTTATAGATGAAGAAACTGAGCTTAAGTGACTTTCTCAAGGTCACACAGCCAAGAAGTAGCTAAGCCTGAGTTCAGACTCAGGTGCTTTGACCCTAGATCCAGAGTTCTTTCCACCAAACTACAATTTATAGAGATGTAGTGTCTGAAGAGAGGTAGATAGTTGTTTTACCATCTTCTGCCCTGGTCAAACTCCATCTTTGTTGAGTTCTGTGTCCTGCATATTAGGGGAACATTGACAGTCTGGCAGAGTTTCCAAGGAGGACCGACAGAATGGTGACACCATGACATCTGAAAATCAGTTGAAGAAACTTGGAATATTTAGCCTGGAAAAGAGCAGATTTAGAAAGGACAGGATATAGTTCTTCAAGTATTTGAAGGGATAGCACATGAAAGAGATTAGATTTTTACTTGGTCACAAGGACAAAACTAGTAGGGAAGGATGAGGTAGAGCAAGGAGGAGAAAGGTTGCCATAGCAGAGGCAGATTTCAATTCAGTATAATGAAAAACTTGCTAGCACTCACAATTGGACAAAAGTGAAATGGGTCATGCCTTGAGAAGTAGTGAGTTTCCCCTTCACTGTCAATCTATAAGTACAACCTAGGTCACCCGTTGTTGAGGATGCCCTAGAGAATGCTCAGGAACCATTGGCTCTAGAGGACCTCTGAGTGGCTGTCCAACTCTCAGATTTTGTGATTCCCTCAATTGAGTCTCAGAACAGCCCTATGGAGTAGGCAAGGAGGAAATTGTTATCCTATCACAGATGAAACTGAGACTGCAAGATATTCAGTAACTTCCCCAAGCTAATACAGTTGAGATAGTATACAAAGCGGATTATAACCCAGCTTTCCAGACTTTTGATCATTTGCCTTTTGGGGTACATTAACCCAATCTGACATAATTGAGTTGGGGAGTGGGGGGATGGCCCTGGAGGTATTGAGGGGAGAGAAGCAATGTCCTTTGGTTGGCTAGATCATGCGTACCTCCTCACCTGCTCCACCCTGGCTCCTCTCCTCACAGGGAAGAAACAGCTGCCAGACCCAGAGTTGCTGGCCCGACGCTTCCTGATGCGGAATGAATTTGTGCCGGACCCTCTTGGGACCAATCTTATGTTTGCCTTCTTTGCTCAGCACTTCACCCATCAATTCTTCAAGACATCTGGCAAGATGGGCCCTGGCTTCTCCAAAGCCCTGGGCCATGGGGTGAGCCCCTCCTAGGTCCTCTCCTTGTTGACCCCCATTCCAGGGCTGTCCCTAGTGGGATATTCTCCCTGCAACTTTTTTATATTTATTAAATATAACAAGAATTCATGTAAAGACCTTGACATTTGTAGTCAAAGGATCTGACTTTGTCACCTTGAGAAAGTGATTTCTGTTCTTGAGGCCTCAGTTTCCTCATCTGAAAACAAGGGAATGGACTTGATCATCAAAGTCCCTTTTGGAGTGGGAAAGATCTTTGGAGTTAGAAGACAGGGAGATACTGTGGTATGGTGGGAAGTGTGGAATATGGAGGCAAAAAACCCAGGGATGAATCCTGGCTTTGCTCCTTCCTACTTATGTAACCTAAGCTCCGCTCTCTAGCTCTCAGTTTTCCTGTCTACAAAATGAGGGAGTTAACGCTAGGTGAGCTTTGAGGTTCCTTTCAAGTCTAAATCTATGACCCTTCAACCTATATTTGAGTTGCGGCTCAAACCCATCATCATAATATTTAGAGCTGGAATAGTTCTTAGGTTTTTTATTTTACAGATGAAGAAATTGAGTATTAGAGAGGGCAAGTCATTTGTCCAAGGTCACACAGGTGAGAAGTAACAGACTCTGACTCCAGATTCAATGCTCAAAGCTATATGACCCTCAGGAAGTCACTTTATCTGTCTGAGAAGTTGCTTCATCTGTAAAGTGGGCTACTAATCCTTATAAAGCATCTACTTACCTCAGGTGGTCATAGACAGGGTTCTTTGTAGACTAAAGTTTTATAGAAATGTGACTTGGTAATGATAATGAGACTGAAGGTTCTAAATACAAACAAATGACTTTACTCTCCCCAAGAGTACTTTTCTGTATGTGTGTGTGCACGTGTGTCTGTTTACATGTGTGCATGTATGTATCCATGAGTATGTATGTGCATGTGTGTATATGTGTGCAGTGTATGTAGGTGTGTGTGTATGTCTGTGTTCATGTGTTTATGTATGTGTATATGCCTGTGGGTGTCTGTGTGTGCACTCTTGTGCATCCAAGAATTCTAGTCAGTCAATAAGCATTTAGCTAGCATCTATCTTGTGCCAGGCATGTTAGTCACTGGAGATACAAGACCAAAAACCCAAACCAAACTACCCAGTCCCTACTCTCAGGCAGCTTACTTTCTATCAGACTTCTCTGGTTATCATCCTATCACAGTGAACTTATATCTGCACCCTCTGTCTATGTATATATATACCTTCTAACTGCCCTAAGAGAGATATAGTTCTTAAGAGTTACAAACATGATCTTCCCATATAGAGGTATGAACAGTTTAACTTTATTGAATAATGTTTTTTTTTTCTTTTCTGTTTACCTTTTTATGCTTCTCTTGAGTCTTGTATGGTCTTTTTATTCAGATAGTTTGAAAGTTTCCTATTTCATTGAATGTCCATTTTTTCCCCTGAAAGATTATGCTCAATTTGATGAATATTTGATTCTTGGTTGTAATCCTATCTCCTTTGCCTTCTGGAATATCATATTCCAAGCCCTCCACTCCTTTAATGTGGAAGCTGCAAATTCCTGTGTAATCCTGACTGCGACTTCTTGATATTTGAACTGTTTCTTTCTGGCTACTAGCAGTATTTTCTCCTTGACCTGAGAGTTCTGGAATTTGGCTATAATATTCCTGGGACTTTTCATTTTGGGATCTCTTTCAATATCATTTTACCCTCTGGTTCTAGAATATTGGAGCAGTTTTCCTTGGTAATTTCTTGAAAGATGCTCTCCAGGCTCTTTTTTTGATCATGGCTTTCAGGTAGCTCAGTATTCTTAAACTGTCTCTCCTGGGTCCATTTTCCAAGTCAGTTCTTTTTCCAATGAGGTATTTTACACTTTCTTCTTCTTCTTTTTTTTTTTGATTCTTTTGCTTTTGTTTGATTGATTCTTGATGTCTCATAGAGTCATTAGCTTCCACTTGCCCACTTCTAATTTTTAAGGAATTACTTTCTTCACATAGCTTTTGTACTTCCTTTTCCATTTGGCAAATTCTACTTTTAAGGAGTTCTTTTCTTCAGTGGATTTTTGTACCTGCATTTCCATTTGGCCAATTCTACTCTTTAAGAAGTTGTTTTCTTTTTCCAAGTTGTTGACTCTTTTTTCACGATTTTCTTGCATCAATCTCTCATTTCTTTTCCCAATTTTTCTTCTATGTCTCTTATTTGATTTTTAAAATCCTTTTTGAGCTCTTCTAGGTGGACTTTTTGAGCTTGAGATCAGTTCATATTTCTCTTTGAGGCTTTGCATGTAGGCATTTTGACATTGTTGTTCCTCTTCTGATTTTGTGTTTTGATCTTCCTTGCTGCCATAGTATCTTTCTATAGTCAGTGCTTTTTTTTTTTTTTTTTGCTTATCTTCCAGCCTATTTTATGACTTTTAAAGTTGAGCTCTGTTCCTGGGATACAAGGTGCACTGTCCCAAGCTTCTTGTGCTGGGGCCAAAAGCGTGGTGGTCACTGGCTTTGTGCACAGGTGCCTGTGGGACTGGTGGCTGGCCTGTTGTGGCAGGGGCTCTGAGGATGGTGGTTCACCCACTGAGGTGGGGTTGCCTGGCCTACTTGCACCTGTTATACCTGGAGTTCTGCAGACCCCTCAGGTTGGAAGTATCTTCATACTCTATCCCTTGCCTTGGCATTAGTGTCTATATTTTATCCTCACCTCCCTTCAAAGTCCTAATTTACAGGCAGGAAAAACTTGACCAAGTTAATTGAGTCTTCTCTCTGGTCTCTTCAGGTGGACCTTGGCCACATTTATGGAGACAGCCTGGAGCGCCAGCACCAACTCCGCCTCTTTGAGGATGGGAAGCTGAAGTTTCAGGTAGTCCTGGGGTTCTGAGAAATAAAGTCTGAGCACTTGCCTGCCCTGGAATGGCCAGAAGGAGGGGCAGAAGGTTTGGTATAGGATGGGGGCGGGATCAGTCTGCCAAGGTGCAAAGGGCTTCCTTTCCTTTGGGTGTGCCTTGGGGGAGAGGCATTCAGCTGGGAGGTGGAGATGCCTGATGATCCTATGGTCCCCTACCCCTCTCCACACTACCCATGAGAGTCTAGTATACAAAATGAGGAGATGGAGTGGGTTCAGGGACAGGAACAGGGGCAGAATGGCCTGGTGGGTGAAGAGGTTACATTGCAACTGACTTCAAATCCCTTCAAGGCTATCATGTGGGACAGAAATTTAAATAGTTAACAGATTTGAGCTCAGTGTAAGGTTTCTTAATCATCAGAACTGTCCAGCAATAGGACTGGCTGCCTTAGGAGATACTGAATTCCCTGCCACTGGAGAAGGTTGGAAGGCCACTTGTCAGCATTGCTCCTGAGACTACTGCTCTAGGGAGGATGCTAGAGGAGATGAGCCCTGACCTTCTATGGATGATCAAGTCCTCTGATTCTGTTGTAGATGGTGGATGGGGAGATGTATCCACCATCAGTGGCTGAGACTCATGTGTACATGAAGTACCCTGCAAATGTGCCTGAAACTCAACAGATGGCCGTGGGCCAGGAGGTGTTTGGGTTGCTCCCAGGCCTCATGGTGTATGCTACAATCTGGCTTCGGGAACACAACCGTGTCTGTGACCTCTTGCGAGCTGAGCACCCCACCTGGAATGATGAGCAGCTCTTTCAGACGACCAGACTCATCCTCATAGGTGAGTGGAAGATCTGTCCCCAAGTCCACATTCCTCAAGACAATGCCATAGGCTCTTCTCCCCAAAGCCTGTATTTGGAAGCAGATTGGGGAATATTGGGAAACATGAAACAAAAGGTACTGGACTTGAGGTTGAGTTTTGGCTATATACCAAGAACTAGCTATGTGATCTTTGACAAGGAGCTAGATCTCATTTGCCTAGATCTCTCATGGTGACATTCTAGGTTCTGTTTTCTAACATTTTATGTGTGGAGCTCCCTTCTATGTAGTTGGTACAGTGGATATATCACTAGACCTGGCATCAGGAAGACCTGAGCTCATAACTGACCTCAGATACTTACTGGTTGTGTGACTCTGGACAAGTCACTTTACCTCTGTCTGCCTTACTTTCCTCATTTGCAAAATGGGGATCATAATAGCACTTACCTCCCAGGCTTATTTTTGTGAGAATAAAATGAGAAAATATTTGTAAAGTGCTTTGAAAAACCTTAAAATGAGGTATAAATGCTAGTTATTATATAAAGCCCATTCCTTTCCCCCACCATCCTGTGTTAGCCAGGTCTGCCCCTAGGAGGCCAGGCCAGGGGACGTACTGTGGAAGGGCTTAGGATCCCAGTTGTTCCTGTTCCTCTAGGGAGATTTGAAGTTCTCCTTTAACCACTACCACTACATTCTCTCCACAGGGGAGTCCAGCTCTCTATAGATAAGGAAGTGAATTAAATCCATTACTCTAGCTTTCCCTCTTTTAACTAATTAGTATATTTATTGAGCTAATAATCTTCTTTAGTGATTACATTAATTGAATACATGTAGATTCTCATAACCTTCCATTACAAGTTAGCTGGTCATAAACATTTATCAAATGCCAACTATGTGCCAAGCATTGTGCCAAAGGGAGCAGAAAGACAAAAACACATCCCTCAAGGAGCTCACACTCTAATGGGAGAGATAACATGAAAATAACCAGACACATAGAAGATACGCACAAAGTAGATGGAAGGTGGGCACAATCATAAATCAGAGGACAAAGGCACAAATAGGACAAGTACTCCATACATTCAGAAGCTTCCAGGGGCTGGTACCCACACTTAGCAGCGTGAGTTTTATAATAATTTATTTTATGATTAAGAATATAATCACAAGTTCACTAAAATTTGTGAAGCATCAATTGCCATTGATATGTAAAGTAACATGTTGGATATTTGAAATGAATTATTGCAGATGAAAATGAGAAAAAAAAATTCCCATCAGGTATGAATTAACCTTAAGATATCTATCATGGCTGTTGAGCATGAGGTTTTTATACTCAAATTTAATAAGTTCTTCAAAGTTCATACCACTTCAAAATCTACCACTCTAGCTGGGAGAGGCTTCTGTGTCCCCACAAACCACCCCTGCCAGGAGAGGGTAAGGTCCTGGTGAGGAATTCCATTCTTTCTCCCAAGCTGTGTGTAGTAGACTGTGTGAGGCCCTCCAACCATGAGTGCCTTACTTGAGTTGTTTTTGAATGTTTCTAACCTGCTTGCTTCTTGGTTAGAGCAGGGAGGCAGGGATGATTCAGGGGCTGGGTATTCCTGAGGTTGGGGCTACTGTTGCCTGAATGTCAGACCATTTCCTGCTCAGCCAGCCTGAAGGGTCCCTCCCTGCCATTACTCTGGTGACCCTCTTCCCTCCCCCCCCCTTTCCCTCTGACTCACCAGTTCCTGTCCTCTTGAACAGATAGGCTTCTCTAGGGGGAAGTTATAGGATGGGGACTTGTCTCAACTAGAATTAGTATGATTCACCAGGGATGATTTGGAGGAAAGGCGGGAAAAATCCAGGAGAGAAAACATGTAAGATAAATGGACAAGCAAGGGCTGAGTGATCTGTAGTGGGCTTATGTCCATCTACCCCAACCCTTCCTATCTTCTTCTTCTCCCTCCAACTAGGGTCTGGTCTTTATGTGTCAGGGTAATCAATCCTGTTTCATTGGTAGGAGTACTTAGGGATGAGAGACATCTAATAGCCGGCTAAAGGTCACTCAGCAAACTGGATAGAGAGAAACCTGTGATTAAGATTCTTAGCACTCATTCTGGGGCGCTGAGTTTCTTCTGTGTTTGGCTGAAAGAGTGCATAGATATTAAGTAGATAGTGTAGTGTCATGAAAAGAATGCTGGACTTTGGAGTCAGGGAACCTGGGTTTGAATCTTAAGATACTTATTTCTAAATTGTATTTTTATTTTTCAATTAACAAATGTTTCCTTTTTCTCCATTGACCTTTCTGCCCCGTTACTGAAAAATTAAAAATAAGAAAAACAAAATCCATGTAAAAATATGCATCTGTGCCACTTATTTCCTGTATCACCTTTGGCAAATCTCATAATCTATGGATCTCAATGACCCCATTTAAAAAATTTGAACATTAGATTAGGTACAATGCAGTTGTGACATTCTTTAATTCTATCTACATCATTTCATTTCAACTTCCTTATCAGCTAAAAAAGTGCTCTGCCTTTTCTGAGACTGGGTGTCGGTTTCCCCTTGTGTGATGGTACCCGAGACCCTTGAGGAGCCTGCCTTTTGAGCCTTTTAGGGAATTTGAGGGGTCAGGAAGGTCTGAGTCCCCAAATGGCATCACAGATTTGAGATTTCAGAGATCACCTGGTCCAACCCTCTCATCTCAGAGATAAGAGCATTGAGGCCCGCCTGTCAAGGAAGTTACCTGAGGTCCCAGAGGTAGGAAGTAGCAGACCAAGGACATGAGTTCAGGCTATCTGACCCCCCCAAATCTCGTACTCTCTGTGTGACATTACTTTGCCTCTCTAGACACTGCCTCATGCACGACCTAGCTCAGGTCAAGAAAGGGAGGCATGAACCATGGCTTGTTGCCTCTCTGTCCTCTGACCCTTCTGTCCTGATCGATCCTTCTAGGGGAGACCATCAAGATCGTCATCGAGGAGTATGTGCAGCACCTCAGTGGCTACTTCTTGAAGTTGAAGTTTGACCCAGAAATGCTTTTTGGAGTCCAGTTTCAGTATCAAAACCGCATCTCTGTGGAGTTCAACCATCTCTACCACTGGCACCCTCTCATGCCTGACTCGTTTGTGGTGGGACAGCAAGAATACAGCTATGAGCAGTTTGTGTTCAACACCTCCATGCTTTTGGACTATGGTGTGGAAGCCCTGGTGGAAGCCTTCTCCCGACAGAGGGCAGGCCAGGTAGGTCCCAGGACAGGCTTGACCCCCTCATTTGCACTCTCCCACCCCACCTCTGCCATTACCAACATGGGGCAGCTGTGGAAAAAGCAATAGCACTGGGTTCAGAAGGCTTGGCCTTGGATCTGGGCTCTGGCACAAGAAGGTATGGTTTGGGATACAAATGTCTGTTGTTTCAATGAGGAAACATTTTTTTTTTACTTCTTTACTTCTTTTACTTCTTTTTTCTTTGCTTTTTTTACTTCTTTACTTCTTTCAATGAGGAAACATTTTACTTTCCTGGGAAAGCAGTCATTTATTCTGTTAGCTCTTCAGGAATACAGGTTCTTTCATTCTTTGTATTTGTATTCCAGTGTACAGTGCCAGGCATGTTGTAACGTATCATTATTATTATCGTTATTATTACCGTATCTCAATTGTATAATACTTTAAGGACTACAGAACACTTGACCCACGCTGTCTCACTTGATCCTCACAACAGCTCTGTTAAGTGGGTGCTGTTTATCACTCAGGGCCGCTCAGTGGCGCAGTGAATACAACGCCAGGACTGGAGTAAGGAAGACTCATCTTCCTGAGTTCAAATCTGGCCTCAGACATTTAGTAGTTATGTGACCCTGGGCAAATTACTTAACCCTGTTTGCCTCAGTTTCCTCATCTGTAAAATGAGCTGGAGAAGGAAATGGCACACCACTCCAATATCTTTGCTAAGGAAATCCCAAATGGGATCACGAGGAACTGGATATGACTGAACAACAAATTTGTGGCCCCCATTTTACAGATGAGAAAACTGAGACTGAGAGAGAGTTTAAGTGACCTGCTGAAGCAAGTATCTGAGGCATGAATCAAATTCAGATCCTCCTCATCCCAAGTCCATCAGTCTATTCACTACACTACCAAAGCTTTGTTAGTGACAGCTGGGTTGTGCAGTGGATAAAGCATTGGATTTAGAGTCACGAAGGCATGAGTTCAAATCCTGCTACCTCAGAGTCTTTCTACCTATGTCATGCTGGGCAAGTCACAACCTAGATCAGCCTCAGTTTCTTCTCTAAAGTGGGGGTAATACGTGTCACTTACCTCACAGAAATGCTGCACAGCTAAATGAGTTAACATGGAAAGCATTTTGCAAACCATACAGCACTATGTAGATGATAACTACGATCATTGTTATTGGTTGATTGATCGATTTACTAAGTATGGGAAGATTAGCTAGCTGTTGGTTATGTAAAACCCTAAACCAGGTGCTGCCAGGCTTAGCCACCAGGTGGCAGCAGATCCCAACCGTAGCTGTAATCCCTAGAAGCCAGTAAATTCAGAGCCCATTAGTGGTTCCCATAGGGACAGGCAGCTATGGTGTAGTGGCTTGACAGCTGACTTTTAGAGTCCAGTAGACCTGGGTGCAAGTCTCTTACCTGATGCCTACTGGCTGTATGACCCTGGGCAAGGCACTGAACCTCTCAGTGCTCCCAGGCAATAGTAAGTTGCAGTCAGTGGTGATCTGTGTTGGTAGAGAGGATTTTCTCACTGGGAGTTCTTTATACCAATACAATCACAGGTCTAGTGTAAAAAAAAGGTACATGTAGGGGCAATTAGGTGGCACACTGGCCCTGGAGTCAGGAGGACCGGAGTTCAAATGCAGCCTCAGACACTTGACACTTACTAGCTCTGTGACCCTAGGCAAGTCACTTAACCCCATTGCCTAGCAAAAAACAAAACAACACAAAAAAGGTGCATGTAGAGGAGGATAGAGGAGATTGCTCTGTAGAGATTACAATGTCACCAGCAGCAATATTCATTATTTTGTAGTACAATGGTATCATGATATTGCTCCAAATAAACAAAATGAAATACTGTGAAAGGAAACAAAACTGTATAGATATACCCTGAAAAATGGTAGTGTAGAAAAGCTATTGAATTTGGAGTGAGAGGACATGAGTTCAAATCCCAGCTTACTATTTATATGTCCTTGGGCAGGTCACTCTCAGGGGCCCAGAGCCTTGTCTATCAAAGGAAGGCCTTTGGGTGAGGTGAATTTTTTTTTTGGTGAGGCAATTGGGGTTAAGTGACTAGTAAGTGTTGTGTCTGAGGCTGGATTTGAACTCAGGTCTTCCGGACTCCTGGGCCAGTGCTCTATCCACTGCACCACCTAGCTGCCCCTGAGGTAACCTCTTAAATGCTCTCCAGCTCTTATGTATTATCAGCCTATGAAACCTGGGTCGGAGTCCTTGGGTTTCCCCTCTATGAATCTCAGTTTCATTATCTGTGTAAAGGAAAGAATAAATATGAAAAAGGAAAGAACAAACATAACAAAAATGAAGGTTAAGTGAAATAATAAGAGCCCACATTTTATATGACTTTAAGGTTTACCTGTTGCTTTCTTTGTAACAATCCTGTGAGAAAGGTAGAGGTAACATATGTGAAAGTGATTTGTATACTACAGGCCCCAAAGCAGTGTATTGGTTCAAATATAAATTCTAGTGTTTCTCCCCCATAAATTCCCCAAATTATAACATTAACAAATTATTACAACACTAGAGTCAAGTGTATGGTAGATTTGGTGGCACAGTGAATAGATTGCTGGATGTGGAGTCAGGAAGATTTGAGTTCAAATGTGGACACTAGGTGTGTGATCCTGAGAGCAAGTCACTTAACTTCTGTCTGCCTCTGTTTCCCCAGGTGTAAAATGGGGATCATAATAGCACACGCCTCCCAGAGCTGTTGTGATGATCAAATGAGACAATATTTGTAAGCTGTTTTTGCAAACCTTACAATACTATATAAATGCTAGCTATTATTATTATTACCTAGATTCAAATTCCAGCCTTATCATTTGTTACTTGTGTGATTCTGGGCAAGCCACCTCCCTCTGAGCCTCAGTTTACTCATCTGTAAAAATGAGAAGGCTGAATTAGGTGGCCTCTTAGGTACCTTCCAGATCTAAACACATAATCTTCAGTCCTATGGCATTTACTGTTATTGTTCAGTCCTGTTTGACTCTTCATGGCCCCATTTGGGGTTTTCTTGGCAAAGATACTGGAGTGGTTTGTCAATTCCTTCTCCAGCTCATTTTACAGATGAGGAGACTGAGGCAAAAAGATTAAGTGACTTGCCCAAGGTCACACTGCTAGTAAGTGTCTGAGGCTGGATTTGAACTCAGGTCTTCCTGACTCCAGGCCTGGCACACTATCTACTGTGCCACCTAGCTATTGAAACCAGACTAGAAGATCCCTAAGGTTCCTTCTAGTTCTAGATTTTATGAGTACTCCTATATATAGGAATAAATAGGTATCATTGTACCTTATTCACTAACCCTTAGTTTTAATGAACCAAAATCATAGATCATAGCTTTTTTTTTTAAAGCTTGGACATGGCTCCTACTCTCTGGCTGTGACATGGCTGTGCCTCTTCTTCCCTAGATTGGTGGGGTCAGGAACATCAACCATCATGTGTTATATGTGGCTGTGAGCACCATTAAGGAGTCACGGGAGCTGAGGCTTCGGTCCTTCAATGAATACCGCAAACGGTTTGGCTTGAAACCCTACATTTCCTTCCAAGATCTCACAGGTCAGTGGCACCATGCTTCCCCCAGCCTCTGACCCCATGTTGCTTGTCTGGGAAGAAAGGGACTTTATTATGTGGGCTGAGCATTGGAATAGATGGAGGGAAAAGGAGGCTGTGGAAATAGGGCTGAAAGTTAACAGTAATAGTACTGAGAATAGCAATACTTAGAGGATCCTTTCTTGTTAGGGAAAGGCGCTAGCCTCTTTACTTTTAATATGTGGTAAATGGTCTTCCTAAGCATCTGTGGCAAAATTTTGATCACCTGTACTTGATTCTGGTCCTTGGACAAAAGATGGATGGTCTATTACTGGGAACATAATTGAAGCCTTTTCAACTTGGTGTAGGACCTACAAATACTTGTGTCTTAGGGGCTTGGCCTTTGCATCCCCAGGGTAACCATCAAACACGAAAAAGCCTCCAAAGGAAGACTTGAGGGGAGGCATACTACTACTATTACTACTACTACTACCACCACCACCACCACTACTACTAGCATTAGTAATCTGTTTCATTTGTCTAGCATGAAGGCTACAGGCAACTGCTACTAGGACAAGCTCAGGGTACCTGGCTTTCCCTGTTCTGTAATCTAACCATCTGTTTGTATGCTGGATTCATTGCTAGGGAAGCCTGATTGCTCCTCAGAACATTGGGTTCCTCTCCACTCATATTCAGTGGCTCATTACCTTCACCCTGGCTCCTTCTGAGACTTGTCTGTTTTGGGCTGTAGCCTAGGATTCCTTCCCCCAGAAAGGGGACAGAATTAAAAGAGGTACTGAAAGTACAAACATGAACTGGGAATAGAAGAGGTAATTTATTCCTATTTGAAGAAAGCCATGATAAGCACAAGAGAATCATAAGTGAACACTGTAGAATGACCAGAACAGAATTCAGAAGCTTATGTGGGAGGCTCATATTCAAGCCCCATTGAGACCTAGAACAGTTTTTGCAAGATTGCTAATTAGCCATGTTAATTTCACTTATGTTAACATATTTACATCAGTCAACTGAGCTTGGTCTTTGTGATCTCTCTGATACTGATTCCTGCCTTGGTGCCACCCTAGCTTTGGCTCTTTCTCCTGGTGACAGTTGAATTGCTCCAAGCAGGCACTTTTTCCTATTGTCAGAAACTGCCTTTCTAGGGTATACCACCTCTGCTGCTGTCACTGTAGGTCTCCAGGCCTTTGGAGTTCTCACAAGGCTTTGTACCTAAGGAAATAAGATGCATACGGAGAAGGCTGTATTCCAGGTACTCCCTACCTGAGTCTTTAGACAGCTCCAAGTTGTTCTTCCTTCAAATGGGCAGTATATCCATTTTTTAGTATATCCATGGAGTTCTGTATCAACAGTCAATAATAGGTCCTTAACCCCCTGATGTTGTTAGATATGACTAATTCTGAATTTCCACCTGGTCACCAGGAATGACACCTTAGCTCCAAATGGGGCAGGGTTTACATTTATATGATGCCTTATACTTTCCCAAGAACTTTCATATCCATTTACCTCTTATGACCTTCACTTTCAGCTCTTGGCTTCTCCTTGAGTCAAGTCAAGGCCCTGGGGACTCGGAGTAGTTGGATGCTTGGAAACTTAAGCATCTTATACAATCTTATGTAGTCATTTAATGAATGACCTTATATTGGAATGGGCCAGTGAATTGGGCTCTGAGCCCTATTCAACTTGTTGGTCCTTGATGGACTGGGCTAGCACGAAACATAGATAATTACTGTCCTTGTCATCCTTTTCTCTGTACTTTCTCTTTTATCTCTCTTAGCACCTGGCTAGCTCCAATTTTCTGTGTAGTAGACTTAGATTCAAATTCATTTATAGAGATTCAATTTCTAACTATCGATACATTTGTTAGATAATAGATCTGAAGAACTTCCTGTGCATTTTAAATTTTAATCTTTCCTGAAAATAAGCATTTATTAGTTCATTTTATCTTTTGCCCATGGTGAGCTTTCCCACCAACAATCACATGCCCCATTTGGGCCTAGCCTAATACTCTTGTGTTAAAGGAAGGGTTGTTGTTGTCCTTATTTTTCAAAAGAAGAAGCTAAGGCTCATATACAGATCACAGGCTCATAGAATCATAGATTTAGGGCTGGAAGTGTCCTCAGACGCCACTGAATCCAACTCTTTTATTTTATGGATGAGGAAACTAAGACACATAGAGGTTAGATGACTTGCCCAGAGTCACAGTTAGTGAATGTCTGAAGCAGGATTTGAACCCAGGTCTTCCTGACTCTAAGCCACTATGGCATGCTACCTCTATATTGAATGTCCTGCCCAATATTACATGGCTCAGAAGTGACAAATCTAAGATGATGGTGACAATGATGACAATATTTTAGACTTATATAGCACTTCAAGGTTTACAAAGTGCTTAATACTCATCTCACTTGACCCCTGAAACTGTGAGGCAGGTGCTATGATTGTTTTCATTATACAGATGAAGAAACAGGCTGAGAGTGGTTAAATGACTTTGTCAGATTCCTACAGCTACTATGTATCTGAGGTAGAATTCACGACTTTGACTCCAGGTCTGACACTAGTCACTACTCCACCAAATTGTCTGATCCCAAGTCTGCTGTTCTTTCTCATATACCACACTGCCTCTAAGGGTGAACAGGGAAAGTTACTTCCCAATGTTGCCCTGGGCATTTGCCTTTTTATTTCTAGGATACAGGGAGGAGCTGATCTGATCTGTTTCCTTCTTCTCTCTTTGTAGGAGAGAAGCAGAATTCAGCAGAGCTGGAGGAGCTATATGGAGACATCGATGCTTTGGAGTTCTACCCAGGCTTACTTCTAGAGAAATCTCTGCCTAATTCTATCTTTGGGGAGAGCATGGTGGAGATTGGGGCCCCCTTCTCCCTCAAAGGGCTCTTGGGGAACCCCATATGTTCTCCTGAGTACTGGAAGCCAAGCACATTTGGTGGTGAGACTGGCTTCAATATTGTCAAGACAGCCACATTGCAGAAACTAGTTTGTCTCAATGTCAAAACATGTCCCTATGTCTCATTCCGTGTACCTGACCCAGACCAAGCAGACAAGCAGAAGGTGAAGAGGCCATCTACTGAGCTGTGAGAGAAGCATTGGTATTTCAGAAGGCTGTCTGTGGTTCCTGCTTTGCAATCTGGAATTTGGGTTCTTGGTTTCATGTTCCAGAGTATTGGATCCTTAGTTGTCCCAAATGTTCTGGAGCACTGCACTCTTAACTAGCATTCCAGAGTGTTGGATTTCTTGATTAGTCCTCTAGAACTTTGGTTTCTGATAGACATTCCTGAATATTGACTGGCTTTCTGGAACCCCCACATACTAATGTGGTTTTCTAAAGCACTGATTTCCTCTGTCCTCTCCAAATGAGTCACTAAGAGAACTTTGCTCACCTAGGGAAGGACTCTTCCATGAACTCAGGGCCCAGGGAAATGCCATTGGCCTCAGAAATGAGGTGGGGTTGCTGGAGAAAAGGGGTGAAGTGGGATCTTTTCATGGCCCCCATGCCCAGTCTAGTGTGTTTGCGTTGTGGATTTCTGGGGGATTGTTGGTGATAGTTACCACGGAATGGGCAGAGGGAACAGCTGACCTACATTTCCCTGACAGTACTTCCTCATCCCTGGCCCTGGATTTCCCAAGAGGTCCTGGGTCCTCAGCTGAGGCTAATAAAATTATCTTTTCAAAGTTGCTTTCTGCTTATCTCCTGCTCACTTGGGACTGCAGCTCCTCCACTGCCTTCTTGACCCTAGAAACAGGTGTGTGTGTGTACATATCACTATGTGCCTTGCCCTATTTGTGCTATTTTCCTTCTGTCACTTTTCTATGCAATGTGAGGAGAAGGTATTTTCCCTCTAAACCTCTCTGATTTACCCATGTTGATCATAGTGCTTTAAACACCATTATGGCTCAAATCCTTTTCCTAGCTATTTTTTAAAATTAAATTTTATTTTTTTAATGAAAAAAAAATCTAGTTTTCTCTCTCTCATTTCTCCTGCCACTAAAAAAAAAAGAAAAAAACTATTGTAACAAATACAGTCAAACAAAACAAATCCGTACATTGGGCATATCTAAAAAAATGCGTTTTACTCTGTACCCTGAATTCATCCATCACCTCTCCATCAGGGGGTGGATAGGATTGACTCATCATCAGTCCTCTGGAATTGCGATTGGTCAGTGCATTGATCAGAGTTTTTAAGCTTTTCAAACTTGTTCGTTATTCTATAATTGTTCTCTTTCCACTCACTTTACTCTGCATCAGTTCATACAAGTCTTCCCAGATTTCTCTGAAACTGTTTCATTATTTCTTACAATAGTATAGCATCTCATTGCTTTCATATATCATAACTGCTTCAGTTATTTTCTAATTGATGAATGAATACCCGCTTTGTTTCCAGTTCCTTGCTATAAAATAAGTGTAGCTATAAATATTTTCATACATGTGATCCTTTCCTTTTTTCTTTGATCTTTTTGCAGTTTATGCCTGGTAGGGGTAGTTCAAAGAGTATGTACTGTTTAGTGGCTTTTTGGGTGTAATTCCAAACTGCTTTCTAGAATTACTGTACCAATTGCATAGTTCCACTAATGGTGCATTAATGAGCCTATTTTTCACATAGCCTCTTCAACATTTATCATTTTCCTTTTTTTGGTCAACTTAACCAGTCTGATGACCATAGGAGCTCAGACTTTCTTTGATTTACATTTAGTTAATTAATATTGATATGGATCATTTTTTTTTCAATATGGCTATTCATAGCTTGGATTTCTTCTTTAGATAGCTGCTTTTTCAATGTCCTTTGGCCATTTGTTATTTGGGGAGTGATTCTCATTCTTATAAACTTGAATCAATTTCTTTATATGTCTTAGAAAGGAGACCTTTATTATAGAAGATTGCTATAAAGATTCCCTCCCCCCCACTCCAGTTACCTATTTTGTTTTTATTTTTAGCTGCATTGATTTTTGTCTTTATGCCTTTTCACTAAGCCCTTCACTTTCTGGTTTTTCATAAGGGTCTTAATGAGAACAACAATAACAATATTTTTATAGCACTTGCCATTTTACAAAGCAATTTCCTCACAAAACCTTGTAAGGTAGGTAGTACAAGTATTATTAGTGTCTTTTATGGATAAGAAAACTGAATCCAAGAGAGTTAGGTGATTTTTTTTTCAAGGTCACTTACCTTGGTGAAGAGGTATTTATTAGATGTTTTCCTCCCAGAAAGGAAAGATGAAATATGTATGTGTTTGTATGTGTTTATATGTGTGTGTGTATGTGTGTGTGTGTGTGTGTGTGTTTGTATAGCAGACTGAAAATACCGTGCATAATGCATGAGTTTTCAAAACAATTTCACATATGTTATCTCATCTGATCCTTACAATAACCCTATAGCTTAGCTGCACAGAGCAGAGAATTGTCATATCCATTTTCTAGATTGGGAAGTTGAGGTCCACAAAGGTATCACAGCTAGGAAGATGCAAAATAGGGATTAATAATAAATAATACCTCAAAAGCACTTTTCTCACAACAACTTGTGAGGTAGGGAGTACAATTATTATCTGATTTTACAGGTGAATTAATTGAGGTGAGGCTTCAAGAAGTTAAATGGCTTGCTCAGAGCCACCCAGGCAGTATTTGAGTCTCTGACCCCTTGACCATCATTCTTCCCACCACACAGTTGCTGCCCAGAAAGGAGATAGCCCAGGACTCTGAAGCCTGGCTCATCTTTCGGGGGAAGGATGGTAGACAACAGGCCTAATTCTGGTATGATAGGGTCATGAAAAAAATGGTAAGAATTTACCAAGCACCTTTTATCAGCTTGGTAGGAATGATTAACCATGGATGGAAGTTGCAGAGAGAGACTTGAGTTTAACTGAATGAAGAATTTCCTAACATTTAAAGTTGGTGCAAAGAGGAACCAGTTACCATATCTGGTCTGCAGAGGAGAGGCAGAATGCTCCTATTCAGGGTAGAAGAGTGTTCTGATTTAGGTAAAGTTGATCTAGATGACCTCTGAAGTTTCTTTCACCTTAGAGATTCTTGGCTCCTAAGCTTAGCTTCAGACTAGGCTTTAGAGACGCAATTAGTTGTGGAATTATATAATTTCAAAGCTGAAAAGAACCTTGCACATAACAGATTAGAAATAGAAAGGATCTTGGAATTTAGAATGTTAGATCTGCATGGGACCTTAGAGATTATTTAACTAATCTTTCTGTGTTTTGGTTGAGGAAGCTGAAGTCCAGTGGATGGGAAGGACCCACCCAAGTCAGTACTTGAACTCAGATCTTTGACTGAATTTATGGCCCTTGCCAAGACATTATGATCTCAATCTTTTTGTTGGCAAGAGTGAGGGGAGGGAACCTGGCCTTTATACTGAAGATCAGAGTAGGTGGGCTAAAGCATAAGTCACTGGATGGGAGGAGGGGAGGGGAGGCCTCCATAAGGGATGTGAATGACTGATCTCTTCCTTCTGGTCTCTCAGAGGTAACTTTTCTGACTCCAAGCTCAGAGAGGGAGTCAGGATTAAAGGAGATGGCCCACTGGGGAAATTGGATAGCTCCCATCAAGAAAGTTTTCTCTTCATGGTACGGTCTCCAGTGTGGCCTAGCTAACAAGGCCGTGGGAAGGTCACTCTGAAAATGCCTGTTTCTCTGGTTTTGATACTAATCCCCCAACTTGGGAGTGGGGAATCTCTATCACTCAACTAATTGAATTGATTGGGTGAAAGTTTTGCTTCTTTGGAACAAGTGGCTAATTGGAAACCCACTGAACCAGCCTCTTTACTCATTCATTTCCCTGAAGCTGCCACAAAATCTCCAGTGCTAGAGAGACTCTTCTCAATAACACATATTTTGCATCATGCAGACCCATCTCATACTGATAAGTAGAACTGCTACCCTAGGCTTTTATTGGTGTGTATAGCCCATCTGGGTTCTAGTCCTTGGCTCTATTCCTAGTCTGTGTACATTAGCCAAGTTACTTCCCTCAGTTTCTGCCTTGTAAAATGATACTTAATCTACTCACCTCACAGGGTTGTTGTGAGGATCAAGTGAGACAATGTTTGTAAATTATTTTTTGGTAAATTAAAATACTACGTAAATGCAAGGAGTTATCACACTGTTTTATCTTGTCCACTTGGGTTCTAGTACCAGGCTTCACCCCTGATTTGCTGGGTGATTTGAAGGCATTTCTTTGGCATCCTCTTTGGTGTCAGTTTCAGCATTATAAAATTAAAAGGCTGGACTGAGTGATTTATCTAAGGTCCCTTTCACTTCTGACAGCCTATGTTTATCATGGGATTTTAGATCTAAATCTTGAAGGGACCTTTGACACCATATAGTACAACCCCTTCATTTTATAACTGAGGAAACTGAGGCCCCAGGAAGTTAAATGACTTGCCCAAGGCCACACAGGCAGTAGCAGAAGTGGCATTTGAAAGCAGGTCATCCTGAATCAATGTACCCTATCCACTGTACTAGTCTGTCTAATGTTGTGTTCTTAAAGTAACTTCCAGGTCTAACATTTTATGAGAGTATTACTATCCCTTTGGCTCAGATGCCTGGAGTAAAAGCTGGCCTTTTGAGTATATGGAAAAATTTTCATTGCGCACATCTTATTTCCACTGGAACTATGTCTACTTGATTTGGAGTGGTATTTAAGGGGTACCAGAGTGCCCCCATCCCTGAAATCCCACCATTAGTGCTTCCCTTCTTTGAGATAAGGTACTTCCTCCTACTCCCATGTAAATTCTATGGAGTGTGGCTATAACGATCATTGATACCTCATTGTGAATAAGCAGCTTTTGAGACTTGAAAGAGGGTGATGGAGAGCAAGACAAAGTATAAGCCTGTGAGTGCGTAGGCTCGAGAGTCTGGAGAAGGCTAAAGAGGAGGCCTAGGTCTTGGGGAAGAGGTTGGGTACCAAGGGGAGAGAAGGGCTGACAAACACAAAGGATGTTCCCAAGGATTAACCCAGCATAGTCCTCATTCTTGCCTTCTCTCTTTAGGTTCTTAAAAAAAAAAAGACACCACTTAGGTAGCTAGCATGGTGAAGGGCAGCCTTAGGACCAGAACAACAGATGTGGAGGAGGCTAAGGGCAGCCCAGTCCGGCACTGGGGGCTAATATTGGGACCAGGCCTGGGGCATATAGGATTCATCCTTTTGCCCAAACATTTGCTCTTGACTTGTTCCCAGAATCAGCAGGGACTTCAGAGGCCAACTATTCTAACTCATGCCTGAATAGGAATCTTCTTCTCTAGCAGACCTTACAAGTGGTCATCGGGCTTCTGTCTGAACACTTACAATGAGGAGGAAACCCACTGCCACTGCAATAGTGCATTCCACTTTTGGACAACTCTGATTGTCATGGAACTTTCTCTATATCAAGCCCAAACTTGCCTCTTGGCCACTTCCCTCCCTTCTGTTCCTAGTTTAGTCTTATGAACCAAGTAGAACAAGTCTAATCCAACTTTCATATACAGCCCTTCAAATATTTAATGGCAGCTTTCATGCTTTTCCAGGCTAAACTTTTCCACATCCTCAGTTCTAGACCCTCACATGTTTGGCCTTAAGACCCTTCCCATCCTCATTGCCCTCCTCTAGCAACTCTCCAGCTTATTAATATCCTTTCTAAGATGTAACACCCAAATGTGGCTTCATTCTATCCATGTATGTATTCATGTATCCATTCAGTATTTGGTCTTTGGGTAAATTTTAAGTCCCCACAGATTGCCTTCAGGATTTCCCCTTTCCTCTACACCAGTGAGGAGGCTCAAGAGGAAGTGGGGACGGGCTGGGTTTAGGGGAAAAATCTGAGGGATAGATGCAATTATTCAGACAGTAAACATTAGTAATTAATTATTAATAATTAATTAACTTATTAATTATTAATAAGTAACCTACTGTGTGCCAGGCATTGAGCTTGGTATTGAGAATACAAAATAAAAAAACAAAACAGTTCTTGCCCTCAAAGAACTTATATTGTATCAGAGAAGTGCATGCAATATGTTCATAGATAATTGTATACAAAGTAAATATAAAATAAATACAGAATACACAGTTCAGAAGGAACAGAAAAAGCTTTGTGGTAGGAGAGAGTTCAGGCTCCGTACTGAAAAGGCCTTCAAATTGGCAGATGTAAGAGCTGACTGGCAACATGCATTAAGGAAACTATTATTTACAGTATGTGGTTCAATGGTCCAGACAGAAAATGCAGAGGAAGAGAGTTACTGGTCTTTACACATAGGCTGCTTATCAATTTGATGCAGAGCACCCTGGGATCATAGAGTGCAACCCTCTGTTAAAAAAAAAAAGAGGTGACAGAATCTCAGAAAAATTAAGATCACATGGTGAGGTAAGTAGCACATCTGAGGCTGAAACACAGCAAAGGCTTCAGTTTTTATATCTGTAAAATAAGATTGTTGGATTGGATCATCTCTAAGGTCCCTTTAATTTAAAATCCTATGATCCTTTGACCTTTGGATTCTCAGTTAGTCTTATGGGGGAGACACGGTCCCTGTCCAAGGGAAGCTTTCCATTTGATGAAAGGAATAGTATTTTTTTTTAAGTTTAGGAGGAATGGAAAAAATATGATTTGGTTGAAAGAAGGGATAAGGGAGAATGAGACAAAGACTGGGGAATAGGAACCAAGCTATAGACAAAAAGCGGCTAAATCAGGACCAAAAACTAAGTGACATGGAATTACAAATACCTTAGTCTGCCTGCTGCGTGTGTGACTTAGCACGTTCAATGAATATGCTTAGCCAAGACATTCATGCACTGAGACTGTTGATCTTTGGCATTTAACTTTGAACAGTAAGATCCAGAAAACATCAGGTTTGAGAGGAAACAAAGGATTCTCTAGGAGTGAAGGGATAATCTAATGAGATCTAGAAGGCCTAGAAGCCTTCACAGATCCTGC